TGAGCTGGCCCCTTGCCCGCCGCTGCCCACAGGCTGCCCTGCCAGCCCAGCTGAGCGTCGCGGCAGGCCTCTGCCCGCCCACCACCTCGCAAGCTCTCCAGCCTCCCTCTGTCCAGCGCTTCTGCCCCGTGGATTGCCTCCGTGCCTCCTCGCCCCCTGCCCGTCTCACCCCCCCGGCCTCGCCCTTGTCCCTCCTTGCCCCCCCCCCCCCCTTCCTGCCCCCGCCCCGCAGCTGGCCCCGCACCGACGCCATCTTCCTCGCCCTGGACCCCACCCACATCAAGCCCTACGACGGCGCAGACCTGTGGTGCGACGCAAGCCCCTTCCACAACCACCTCTCCCTCACAGGCATCACCAAGATCGCGCTGCCCAGCGGCCCCCCCGTCATGGCCTTTGCCGGCAACGCGGGTTCCTTTGGCTACCGCGCCCAGCTGGCCCCCGGCAGCCTGCCCGGCCAGCCCTTCACAGGCAAACGCGCGGCCGGGGCTGGCGCCGAGTGGGGGGCAGGCCGCCGGTGCACTCCTCCCAGCTGCATCCGTCTGAACAAGTGGACCTGCGACTGCCGGCATGCGCGCCGCCTGTGTCGGCTGTGGCCGCAGTGCCCGATCCTCTCCCCTCCGCTGGCCCTCCCGCCTGCATGCGCATTCGCCTGACACCCGCCCGCCCCTCCCACCTGCAGGCGCCTTCTGGGTGCTGGCCAACGGCGGCACCAACCTGGGCTATTCCAACGCCCTCATGACCCTCAACAAGAACGGTGAGCGGAGGTGGAGGCGGCGGCAGCGCCGCACGCTGCGCACGGCGGCTCTGCAGCCTCCTGCTGCATGCTTCCTGCCCAGCTTGCGCACCGGCTTCCCTCACAAGCTCTCCCCCAGCCCGATCAGGCAGCCGTCACAGTCGTCCCGCAATGAAAGGCTGCATGAGCAGACGTGTTGGCAAGGGGCACACGTGTTGAGAGGCAGGCTGCCTCACCGCCACATGCCCTGCTCCCGCCTCTTAACCGCCTCCCCCCCTCCTCCTCCACTTCCCGCAGCCACCAACATCGACCACGAATTTGCTTGGAACACGCTGAGCTTCACAGAGTACCAAAACGGCCTGCCGGGCGCGGTGCCCGTCTATGCCCCCGCCCTGCCCAGCCAGGCGGGCCAGTGTTGGCACTTCCTGACGGGTGCGCCGCTGCTGCGGCGCCTCATCATACCGCGCGCATGCGCCACATGCGCACGCGCCACATGGCCGTGCACCAGCATGGCGGCGGCTGGCCCGTGCGCGCGCACCGCGCGCACCCTCAGCTGCGGCTGCACCCAGCCGCCGGCTGCAGTGCAGAGCGCTGCTGGGCGGAGGTTGGGGCTGCGGTGTGGGATGGCACGGCGGCCGTCGCTGCTGGCTGTCGACCGCCCCTCCATGCCCTCCCCGCCCCATGCTCCCTGCAGTCACCAAGTCCCCCACCACCGTTTCTTTCTACTGGAAGGGCGCCCTCACCACCTCCTGGGACAACACCGCCCAGATCACCTGGGGTGAGTGGCCTGGCAGGTCCAGCATGCAGGCAGTGCACCGCTGTGCTGTGCACGCTGCGGTGCCCACCTCCGCCCGCCTGCCAGGCAGTGCCTGCCGCCGTCGGGCAGCCGCCGCCAGCTGCAGCGGTAGTGGGGGCCGACTTGCCTGCCGCAGCCTCCCGGCATGCACCCGGCGCCACCAGTGCCCCCTCCTCTCCCTCACCCTGGTGTACTGGAGTACTCCACCGCCGCATGCCTGTGACTCCCTGCCTTGCCCTGCCCTGCCCTGCAGGCTCCAACGACCTGGCCATCGGCATCGACTGGGCCAGCAAGGGGCTGAACTTCAAGGGCAACCTGGGCACCATCTCCCTCTACAACCAGGCCCTGACAGGTGAGCGCTGTGTGTGTGTCTGTGTGGCTGGGTGGTGGTGACGTGTGCTGTGGCGGCATGCTGTGCGGTTGGCCAGCCTGCGTGCCCTCCTCGCCGTTGGCCACGCACTGTGCACCCAGCCCAGCGCCTGAGCTGCGCCCGGCCTCCCCTCCTGTGCTGCTGCAGCTGCCGAAGTGCAGGCGCTGTACAACAGGGATGTCGCCAAGTATGCCGCCAACCTGTGCACCTGACCAGCCCCTGGCGGGTGAGCTTGAGCAGCCGCGTTGCCGATGACCTCCGTTACAGTCCCCCTTTGTACATCCATCCCGTCGAGCCACCGAAGATTGGCAGACGCCCACTTGCATCTCAGTACTGCCCCGCTTCCCCCTCCCAACCAACACTGTCCCCTATACCACCCGTTCTGCTGGTTTGAGCTAGAGCCTGATCATGTGAGCGGCAGCAAGCGCCCGGCATTGCATGGCCGGGCCTTCTGCCGCACACGCGGGCTTCATCGCCAGCAAGCAAGCAGCAGCATGGCGATGGTCCTGCCAGCCGCTGCCAGCCGCCTGCCCACCTCCCTCCCCAACTTGTTCCAATTCATCCTGCCCTTGTGCATTATTCCCACCCCCACTGCTGTACTCCATAACGATGTAACCCCAGACCCTCCTCACCCAGGCCACCAGCGCTTGTGTTACAAAAGGCTGGTTCGGCACCGGGCACAGGCTGGCGGACAGGGCAGAGACCGCTGCGGCGGAGCGGGCGGCTGGGCACGCCCGCACCACCCCCGCTGTCTGAAGGCATCTCGTGCCCCTGGTAAAAATCCAGCAAGTTGCAGCCGTGCTGCTCAATTGATCTTCAGAAGCTCCACCTGCAGCATCAAGCACCGGTAGGAGGAGCATTGAGCAGAGTGGGGAAAAAAGCTGCTTCGAGAGCAGGCGGCTGCCGTGTCGCCCAACCAGTGCACAAAACAGCCCCGCCGCAGCCAACTTGCATCGAAGTGCAGCGTCGAGTTGGGAGGGATGGCGCCGGGCGCTCCGCGCCTGCAGAAACGACACAGCTGGGTGGTGGGCAAGCGCAAGGCATGCTGGCTCCCAGCTGTGCAGCGGCTTCTGCCATGGCTGGGACACGTGCCCTGCCTTGCCCCGCCCTGCGGCGGTCCGCCACCACACTCACGCTCCGTAGGCGTAGTCGGGCGGGCAGATAAGAGTGGCCCTCTCGCCAATCTTCATTCCCATCACGCCTGTGCACATGTGGCAGCCGGGTGGAATGCAACAGGTTGGGCAGAGCCACCTGTTGGCTTGCAGAGCAGCCACAGGTGGCACGTGGGACAGCAGCAGCAGAAGCGGCGGTACGGCGACATGCAGGCAAGTGCCCAGCCGCAGCTGCGCAGGCGCAACACAAGCGGTGGTGACAGCGGCTGCGCAACGCCAGCCTCGACGCACCCTCGTCCCAGCCCTTGCTTCGAGGAGGATGGGAAGGGGCGAGGTGGGGCGCAGGGTGAGTGGAGGAACGATGAGAGAGCTGTGGGCGGCAAGCATGCGCGACACAGGCAACAGAAACACACACAAAACGGCCACAACCAGGCATGACCGCTCACATGACTTGGCCCAACCCGATGTTGAAGACGAAGGGCTGCCCGCGATCCCGGGAGGAATCAAACTTGCGGCCATCAGGGAAGGTGCCTGCAGAGCAGGCATGGCGGGCGGGGCGGTGAGGAGTTAGTTGCCGCCACCTGGGCACACGGCGCAGCAGCGAGCTGGATAGCCGGCCAGCTTACCGGTGTAGTGCACGGTCACCTGCAGGAGCCGGGGGGGAGAGAGGGGAACAGGACATTCATTGATTCATTGCCAAGGCAGCAGTCTGCCGGCAGTCCCCACCGCCCTCTTGCATGGGGCATCCCCTGCACGACCCTACTCCATCGGGCCTATCCGCCCCTTCCTGACGCTTGTGGCGTCATGTAACACCGCAATCGGGCTCACCTTGTCGCCCTGCTTGGGGCTGGCGCCCGACCCCTCAACCAGCACCTTCTTCTCGAGACTCTGCGCAACAACAGAGGCGTGCAACTGACGCCTGGACGCTGCCATGCGCCGTGGACGCGGCTGGGCGGCGGGGGAGGCCGTGAAGGCTCGGCGGGGGGCCTGCATGGCGCGGGGCACGAAAGCCGCAGCCCTGGAGGCCATCGACCGCATCATCGCACCCACCATGGTTGATCAGTTGTCGGTGTCGTTGTGGAATCGGCGCTGGATGGGCCTGTATGTTGTGGAAGCGCCGAACGTCAGGTACTGTACCTCAACCCCAATGCCAACACGCTCAAATGCAGGCAAGGAGCGGGGCTAGTGCGTGCTCAAGCCATGGAAGAGCAGGGAATACAGCCACGCCGCGAAAAGCTAGAAGTGCCCTCCACCTCGCAGCTGGGTCCGTTTGCAGGCTCTGCAGCCCTGCTTCCATGCAGATTATGCCGCCCTGATATTCTTCCCAGCTCCCGCTGCTCCGCCGCCGCCACCCGCCGCTCCCAATATCGTCCAACACCCTCTTCTGCACCGCAGAGCGCCGGCTTTTGGTGGGAGACGCTCAGCCGCGGCGACCCAAGCGCAAGCCCGCGATCAAGGCCGTGCCGCAGAGCGGGCTGCTGGACCGCCTGCAGGCCTTCCTGCCGACGCTGCAGGCCGCCAACGACGACCTGCAGCAGCAGCTGGCGGCGGGCCAGCCAGAGAGCGAGGTGGCCATGGAGCGCGGCAGGTGAGGCAGGGGTTGGTGGCAAGCAGGATTTGTTTGGCATGCATGCTTCTCCCATTGCTGCCTCGACCACCTTTGCTTTGGCAGCGCTGGGTCAGCGCTGGGCCTTCCAGCACCCCGCGCTAGATGCTGCGTGCACCAGGGCGACTGCGCCTACTCTATTTCTGCTGCTTGCGCTGCACAGCTCACCTGTTGCCCGTCCCTATCACTCACCTTCAGTGCTCTACCGCGCTGCAACCTTTGCAGCGACGATGAGATGGAGGGCCCGTATGTGGAGATGGACCTCGCGTGCGGCCTGTTCGACCTTAAGGATGCCACGGCGGTGGCAGCAGCAGAGCGCAGCCTGGTCAACCAGGGGGTGGCGGTAGAGATGTTTCACGGCGGCAGCAGCAGCGACAGCGATGGCGACGGCGGCGGCAGCGAGGGAGAGGAGGAGGGCTGGGGGCGAGGAGCTGACGTTGCAGCGGCAGACCTGAATGGGCGCGGCGTGGTACCATCAACGGCAGCACCACCACCAGGAGCGGCAGGAGAAGGAGCGCAGGCGATGCAGGAGGATGGGGGGGCAGCAGGGGACGTCCCGGCGGCGGCAGCTGAGGTGGGCCCGGCCGGGCGGCGGCGAAAGAAGGGCAAGCAGCGCAGCAAGCCGCGTGCGGGCATCGAGGTGCTTTCTTAGCTGCTCCCTCCTGCCAACCCCCAAACCCAGCTGCTGCCTTTGCCCAGCTGCATGCCAGCTCAGGGCCCTACCTATGTTTGCTCCGCTCCCCTGCTCAGCTCTCCTCTCTCTCGCCTGTCTCATCTGATGTACTCCCTTTGCACTGCGTGATCCAGCTGCTCGATTCAGTTGCAACACTGCACACGATCAATTCCCATGGCCGACAGTTGGGGGGCGTGCGGGGTGGCGCACGGGATGAGATCAACGGAAGAATGACTGTGGGTACTGCCAGTAGTACTGGATCCGAAGCTGTGCCAAGGTGACGCTGGCCAGCGGCGCCGAGTTTGCTCAGGTCCGCAGGCATTGGCTGCTGCATGCCATTCTGCGTGTGGACCGGGAGCTGTGCGGCGGCAGCGGTGTGAGCGTGGCGTACAGTGGCCGTACGGCGGTGGTGTGCATGCGCAGTGGCGGCGCCGGACGTCAGGCGCCCAGGGTAGGGGACAGGCGCTGCGGTGCTGGCCAGGCAGGTGGGTGGGTGGGCTCGGGGCACTCTCGTCGGCACTCGCGCCAGCATGCGCATCAGAAGTCGGAGCAGCGCCCCTTGATCTCCCAATCCTGGTAGCGTGTGGGCTCGGGGCCCGCGTAGCCGCCAATCTTGCGGGGGAGATCAAGGGGGAGCTCCTGGGCAGGAGAGGGCGCCTGGCAGGCAGGGGGGGCAGAGGTGGGGGCAGGCACGGGTAGGCATGGTGGCCATGGGGCGTTGAGCAGAAGGGTCGGAAGCGGGGGCGCTGCGGCACAGGCAGGAGCAAGCAGTGCCACACGCACAGCCATGCCCAACTGGCCGGCTGCAGCTGGGTCAAGAGATCCAGATGCTCGGGCGAACACACAGGAGACCGGGGTCCTTACCTCGTCGCCGGCAGGCTGGTCGGCAGACGATGCCGGCTCCTCATGTGATTCCTGCTCGGCAGCCGCCTCTGCCTCCGCCGCTCCCGCCGCCTCTTGCCGTCGCGCCTCGGCCGCCTGCCGGCGAGCTGCCGCTGCCGCGGCATCCGCCTGCCGCTGCCTCTCCAGCCAGGCTGGAAAGTCGGGGTGGCGGCGCTCCCAGTCGCTCCTGGGGGCCATGACCACGTCGAGCAGCGCGTGCCTGCCCGCCTCCTCGGGCCGCTCCTGGGCCAAGTAGGCCAGGCGCTGCAGCATAGCGGAGCAGCAGTGGGCAGGCGGGCACAGGGCAGCGGTGAGACAGGCAGGCTTGCTGCTGCAGGGGGGCGTTGGTGCGGGCTGAGATGCACACGCAGATGCACACGCATGCGCCGCACAGTAGTCCCAAGTGCAGCAGCTGGATGACGGCTGGCCTGCTGCAGGGCAGTAGCCCAGGCCCCTGCCGCTGCCTGCCGCCCGCACCCCCCACCCCCTACC